TTCACTTTTACCAATATTTTGATTTTACAAATAATTTTGCACTTGACATTTCACAAACTATTTCTCTAGTATAGACTCCTGTGAGTGGAAATCCTGGATTAAATGGATTGAACTTCCTGATTCATAATACCAAATCGATTTCCTGGAAAGTTGTAAGGATTCCATTTCAAAAATGTGTGAATGTACTCATCTTATCCCTCCTCACCATTAAGTATTGTCCTTTTAAAATCTTTGTTAATTTGATGAGCAATACGGTAATGCATTGTTGCTTTTGTTTATAGTTCCTTAATTACTAATTAAGTTGAATTTTTTTCATATGGCTGTTGGCCAGTTAGATGTCCTTGTTATGCGCTGTTTTTCATCAATTTTGCACTCTTCCTACTTAGAAACTATTTTTCTCATTAATTTGCACACTTTCTCTGTGAAGCTGAGTGCCTCCAATCGGACTGCCGTAACAAAGTTCCATAGACTAAGTCACTTAAAAACAACAGAAGTTAACTTCTCACATTTCTGGAGGGCACAAGTCAGAGACCACGTGCCAGCATGATCAGATTCTGGTGAGAACCTTCTTTGGGGTCGCAGACTTTGACTTCTCACTGTGCCCTCACAGGGTGGAAAAAGAACAAGCTAGCTCTTTAGCCTTCTTAGACGGCACTCAACCCATCATGGGTCTCTACCGTTAGGACCTCGTTACCTCCAAAAGGCTCCACTTCCAAATATTACCACACTGTGGAGTTGATCTCTGCATGAGTCTTGGGGAAATTTGAACATTCAGTCCCTAACACTTATTAAATCTCATGTGTTAGTTTTGCCTGATCCCCCAAAATAATATGAAGGCAATTCAAGGTCATGAGTATTCTGCTTGTTGTCACTGCTCCGTTACCACAGTGGGAGCCTGCACGCAAGCACCGTACAGGCACATAGAACAGAAGCCAACAAAATATCTGTCCTGTCTCCTTCCTCCAGCTGCCCTTGCTGCCACCCGGGTTCCTTCCTACTGCAACTTCCACTTTGTCTGTTGTTCAGCTCATTAATCCATATTTTACAGCGGTCTTCCTCATTAAAATGTGGATTTTCGTTTTCTACCTGAGGGTCTTGTTTCTATGGTGATACAAGAGGCAGTCTGTGCAGACGTGTGGCAACTGCAAGCTTTCACTTACTTTGAGAGGTAGTTAAAGCTGATTGAGGTAAAGGGTCAGTGGGGATCCTGCAAATGCCTGGCAGAGGTCAAAACTTGCAGCAAAGTCAGTAGAGAAGCATAAAGAACTCCTTTTTTGTCGTTGTAATGACCTCACATAGGTATGAAACTTTCACACCCATCTAACATTAATTTTATATATTTGATGATATTTTTCATTTATTGCCTTAGACATTTGGTCTGAGGTAACTTTTTAAACAACTCACACAACTTTTTAAAACCACTTTGTCAAACAAAGAAGGTATTATATGGCAGCCACAGAATGGTAAAGGATTACTGGGAGCTTTCTCTTTATAAATGAAAGAGGATTTAAACAATTTTTCATGTGAAAGGTAAACAAATAATAGAAAGAGAGAAATTCGGCAGCATCATTTATAAAAATGATTCTACCCCAAAGTCTTATCCTCTCCTTTTTATTTACCCCTGCATACAATAAAACAGTGTTAAAGTGTAATTTTTAAAAAAATAATACCATGACCCCCATACAAAAATAAAATGAACAGGTATCAACATCATATTTGACTCATTAATCAATGAGTAATTAATTGATGAGATGTTAAGATGTGAAGACTAATTCAAAGAACATTTGAGAAGCTAGGTTTTTTTAGGGAATATTAGAATGAGATTTTGGGGTTAGACACAAAACTGTTTAATGTCCAACAAGCAATAAACCATAACCTTTGGGATCGTCTGTTCTTCTTCTTCTTCTTTTTTTTTTTTAGATTTTCTTTATTTATTCAGAAGAGACACACAGAAAGAGGCAGAAACATAGAGAAAGGGAGAAACAGACTTCTTGTGGGGAGCTCGATACGGGACTGGATCCCAGGACCCTGGGATCACAACCTGAGCCAACCACTGAGCAACCCAGGTGTCCTAAGGGATCATCTGTTCTAACAGACAAAATCTTTGCATCTCTAATGGACAAAAACCTACACATTAACCTTTGCTCAGAGATAACAAAGTCGAGCCCAATACACACTGAAAATATTTTGCCAGCTCTTCTGCCAAACTTTAACTGATTTTTCTGACATGGAATGAAAATAGCTTTGTAAGGGAAGGGATAGTACGGGTAGCTCTGGAAATGAGGAAGCCAGGAAGGCAGTAAAAAATTCTGGGAGCCCACAGACTCTTCCTCCTGACTGAGCAAGAGTGGTGACTGCCAGCAGCTCCCCACACCAGAGGTGAGCTGATACTTCCTGAACTGGCCTCACCACCTGCCCTCTCCCCAAAGGGAGAAGCCATCCTTCCTCTCCCCAGACACCAGGAAGGAAATAATTGCATGGAATGCCAGCTCCAAGCAGGAAGCCCATAACCCCCGGCAGAGTCTCAAACACAAAATAACATGAAAAGGACCTGTCATGGGTGCAGAAGTGTTTTGAGATCTGTGGAGCCAGATGTGGGAGATCAAGTGCTCTGGCTTAAATTTGCCACTGGAGATGCTAAAGAGACACAGAAGAGAATAACTGGCAGCTCAAAGACCCCAAGAGAGTGGGAAGAGAAGCCCAACTTAGAGTAAAAGTAGGAGCCATCTTGGGTTAGAGGGGAATGGGGGAGGACACCCTTCACTATGGGGAGGGCCCGAGGAAAGGCAAGAACTTCTCACGAATTCATAAGCAGCAGGAAGGATGAGAAGTTGGAGTTCCCAGATCATTGTTTCTGCCTCCTCTATGAAGGTAGAGGGTGGGGTGGTATGGAAGGGGATATAAGAAGATTGACGTTAGGGGCTAAACTGTTTCCCATCCTTCAAATTCCTATGGTGAAGTCCTAACCCCTAGCATCTCAGAGTGTGAGCATATTTGGAGATAGAATCTTTTAAAAGAAAATTAAGGTTAAGTGTGGTCTTCGGGGAGGTAGGCCCTAGCCAATATGATTGGTGTCTTTATAAGGAGAGATTAGAATACAGACAGGCACTGAGGAACGACAACATGAAGACAGAGGAAGAGGTGGGCATGTGCAAGGTAAGGAGAGAGGCCTCAGAAGAAATCAACCCTGCTGACATCTTGATCTCAGACTTCTAACTTCCAGAACTAGGAAGGAAAAAAAACAACAGCAACAACAACAACTGCTGTTTCAAAACACGTTAAAGGGAAAAGGAGATGTTCCCAAGTGAGACCATGTAAGAAGATTGCCAGATGATATTAAAAGGCAAAATCATATTGGAAGGTGAGGCATCAGAGAAAGAAAAATCTTGTCTAATCCAGAAGTGAGCATGTTTCATCTATTTACTGGACTCCCTAAAGTGACCTCTAGTAGATGGATGAGCTTCAGTCTGAAACATGAGCAGGAGAATCACTGAACCAGAATGGAAGATGGCAGTGAATTCATTCAACAAATATTTATTGAGCATTTTTATATGCAAAGTGCTCATGGCTATGAATACTCATATGAACTCATGGCTATGACAGACAAGGTGTTTGGTCTTATGGAATCTACATTTGAATGAATAAAGCATATAATAAATAAGTAAACAAGTAAAAACAATAAGGTCAGAGTTAAAAATGCTATGAAGATGGCCAACATGCACATGAGAAAATGCTCCGCATCACTTGCCATCAGGGAAATACAAATCAAAACCACAATGAGATACCACCTCACACCAGTGAGAATGGGGAAAATTAACAAGGCAGGAAACCACAAATGTTGGAGAGGATGTGGAGAAAGGGAACCCTCTTGCACTGTTGGTGGGAATGTGAACTGGTGCAGCCACTCTGGAAAACTGTGTGGAGGCTCCTCAAAGAGGTAAAAATAGACCTGCCCTACGACCCAGCAATTGCACTGCTGGGGATTTACCCCAAAGATACAGATGCAATGAAACGCCGGGAAACCTGCACCCCGATGTTTCTAGCAGCCATGTCCACAATAGCCAAACTGTGGAAGGAGCCTCGGTGTCCATCGAAAGATGAATGGATAAAGAAGCTGTGGTCTATGTATACAATGGAATATTCCTCAGCCATTAGAAATTACAAATACCCACCATTTGTTCCAACGTGGATGGACCTGGAGGGTATTATGCTGAGTGAAGTAAGTCAATCGGAGAAGGACAAACAGTGTATGTTCTCATTCATTTGGGGAATATAAATAATAGTGAAAGGGAATATAAGGGAAGGGAGAAGAGATGTGTGGGAAATATCAGAAAGGGAGACAGAACATGAAGACTCCTAACTCTGGGAAACGAACCAGGGGTGGTGGAAGGGGAGGAGGGCGGGGGGTGGGGGTGAATGGGTGACGGGCACTGAGGTGGGCACTTGACGGGATGAGCACTGGGTGTTATTCTGTATGTTGGTAAATTGAACACCAATAAAAATTAATTTATTAAAAAATGCTATGAAGAAAACAGAGCAGATAATGTCATAGAAAGTGACTTGGGTGGGAACAATATTACATAGGGTAGTCAAGGGAAGCTATCTCAGAGAAGGTTCTATTTGATCCGAGACCTGAAAGATAAAAATAAACAAACAAACAGAAACAAAGGGGTGATAGAAAGTATCCTGCTCAGTTTTCAACTTCATTGGGAAGGGTGGAAGGAAGGACGAGGAGGTAAAGTCTTGGGGTTGATAAGGCATAATCTTCCAGGTCAAAAGGAACCACTCATATATCACTACCAAACAAGGGTGAGCCCAGATTGGGAGTGTCCCAACATGTTTATTTCCAAATGAGAAATTTCAGAGTCCTGACTTTCCTTCTCATTTCCTGAACAAGTTTCCCTGTATGATCTGTACCCTAAGGCTCCCCTACCTCCATATTCTCCACCAACCCCCAGTTTCACACCAAGGACCATGGCTCCACTCTCTTAACAGTCTGTTTACAGTTTAGGAGAGTAGCCAGCTACTACGATGTTCTCCCCAGTGATGTAGCTGGCATCTGAAGAGCACAAGAAAGACACAATTCCTGCACATTCTTCAGGCTCCCCAAACCTGAGAGGAAAAGAGCAGAACTGAGGTCACAGCCCATCCAATGTTAAGCTCCGACTTCAGGTTCTGCTAGACCAGAGGGGGCCCGGCATTGAGCCTACAGATCAATACCTCACAAAACTCTAGTCAAATCAGGTTCTGGGGAAGGTCAAGGTGGGCTCAGCAGGAACATGCCCACCCTCCATCCCCTAGCCCCAGGCTATTCTCAGACTTTAGCAAGGGGGATCAGCCAGCAGACTGGAAAATCAGGCTCTGTCTCTTCCTGAAATTGAACTTTCCTTCAGAGTAGCCACGGACCATTAAAGCCCCAAACCCTACCTACCGCTGCAATCCATAGATGTCATTAAAGTCAGGTAGCAAGTATGGCAATGTTTTCTCCTGAGAAAAGATTTCAGAGTCAGTGTTAGGCAAAAGGACTGTTGAGGGGGTAGGGCAGGGGTGGTGGGAAGGGCACCATGGCAGATTGATGCCTCTGTGGGAGGATGACCATGTTCAGGAGAGAGGAGTGGGGCAGAGCTTTGGTTTGCTCCCTATTGAGAATAGAGACCCCATTCTGCAGGAAAGTGAGAGGCTGCTGGTGCCAAAGTCTGCAGGGCAGAGCTTCTGAATTGGGCCTGGACTGAGGTTGCAATCCAAGTATGAAGCTATCTGTGGGCACCGGGAGCTTGGCCAGGGAAGGGACAAATGAGAACCACGGGACAGGTTGGGGAGCAAAGACTGTGATCCTCACCACTTGCATAAAGTCAGTCTTGATTATTCCTGGCACCAAGCAGTTCACTCGGATGCCTTTTGGGGCCAGCTCTATAGCCAGAGACTTACAGAGACCCAACAATGCTGTTTTGCTGGTGTTATAGACTCCCAGCTTCTGAAAAGCAAGTGGAAATAGACAAAGGGATTGGAATTGGCAGGAGAGAATGTCACCTGAACAGCCAGAGCTGTGACTCTAGGTCTCACACTGAGATGAAACACCAGACTTTAGGCCCCAACTAAAATCCCTTCGCTGTGTTTCCCCATCTACAATCATTTTTTTTTATTTATGATAGTCACACACACAGAGAGAGAGAGAGAGAGAGAGAGAGAGACAGAGAGACAGAGAGAGAGAGGCAGAGACATAGGCAGAGGGAGAAGCAGGCTCCATGCACCGGGAGCCCGACGTGGGATTCGATCCCGGGTCTCCAGGATTGCACCCTGGGCCAAAGGCAGGCGCTAAACTGCTGCACCACCCAGGGATCCCTACAATCATTTTTAAGAGGTGAATTTCTGAGCTAGAGGACCTTGTCCAGGATTAGAGAAATGCCAGGGAGTCACTGCCATGTGTGTCCAAGTTTGAAACAGAGAAAGCCACCCTGGACTTTCAAACATTCAGCCAGGAAACTGGAATGGGGACATCCCAGGACTCAGAACTTGCTTTCCCATGAACTGTGCATACCCTGGGCAAATGACTTAACATCCTTGGCTTTCAGAGATGTTATGGCAAAGTGAGATTATAATCCCAAATTTGTAGTAATCAAGTTAATCTCAACTCCCATCAATGGCCAGTTCTTCTACACCCCACTGTAGAGTCTCACAGGAAATAAGACTCCACTGCCCCTCACCCAGCCCCATGCCGAGGATTTTACACTCACTGGTATTGGTACATAGACCACCATAGATGAGACCAGAACCACAGAGCCTGCCCTGTAAGGAGAAAGGCAGATGGGATGGGATAGCAGGTGAGTCCAGCTAAGAGCCCAGATGAGCCCCAGGAAATTGTTACTTTCACGGTAAGAGGAAAGCAGCTCAAGATTCATGATAAGGTCAGAGAATATCTGGAACACTGAGGAGAAGCTAGTGGACACTAAGGTCAATGGCAGGGTCAGTGCTAGCCAGTCACCACAGCCAGGGTCACAGCCAAGAGGCAGCACTCCTGGAGAACAAAGCCCCAGTAATGCATGCTCTCAAGCCACAGCCCCTCTGAGGTCAGTGTGCAGCCAAGGAGTCCCAGCCTGGCCTGCCCAGGACACAGAAGAGCAAGGCTCTGCAGCAAATGCCACAGTGCCTCTAACGAGAAGGGAAACCAATGAGATGGCTCCTAGAGGAGGGCTGGAGTTAAGGGGTCAGAGCTAGGGCTCCAGGTTACTGCCTTCTGGACCCTTCTTCCCTGGAGTTGCCACTAAAAGAGACAAAGTCTGCATTCTCTGAGATCAAAAGAACAAGAGCTCGTGAAAGTTCTTCTGAAAAGCTAGTTCTTCTCCCTCCCCAGCAAATGTTTCTCTTATTCACAACCGTCACATCCCATGGGGAAGAGGATAGGTGTGGAAATAGAGAATATTTTCCAAAAGACACACATCTCACTTCTCTTGCTGCCACACTGCACTTCCTGGGCCCCTACCCAAGTACTTTCTGTCGGATAAAGGACACCAATGGATGAAGACCCCAGTGCCCACTAGCCCCTCCCTGCCTCACCCTCTGTTTTCCATGTGGGGCAGCAGCTGGCTCAGCAGGAGGGCTGGGGACTTCACATTCACGTCCAGGACCTGAAATCAGAGAAAATACAGAGGCAAAGGAGAAGGAGAGATGAGGTCTGTCCAGTGCCCATTCTCACTGGTCACTTGGAGACCTGTGGCCAGAGCAGGACCCAGGGTACTCCCCATAGACTCAGAGCTTGAGTCCTGCTCTTTAACAGAGTGTGAGGGACAGGGTCCTTCAGGAGAAAAAAAAATCTTAGGTTTCTGTCCTGCCTCAGTCACTGGGAAACCACCAATAAGCTGTGGTTGGGGAGACCCTCCCACTGCGGGCCCCCACACCCGCTCTCCCCAGTTAACATCACCTCCAGAGAGAAGGCTGGAGAAAAGAGAAGAGGAGAAGTCACGATGACTTGTTTTTAGTGACTGCCTTAACGGAGGTGAGGATGAGAGAGAGGGAATCCACACTGAGCACTCAGTCTGTGTCAGGAAATGTTCACAACCAGGATTTTTTTTTTTAATTGGAAAAGCTGGAGTATGACTGAGAAGGGGGAACTGGAAATTGTATCCAGAAGGCCAGGGAATGTGAGAACTAAAAAAAGGAAGTGGGGCAGTGTCTGCAAGGATGAATAGCAGGCATTATTCAGAGGATGATTCCAATAGCAGGGAACGGCTCACCCTGACCACGGACTCACCTCTACCAGCAGAGTCAGGTGAGGGGGTGGGTCAGGACTGGGCCAGCTCCTCTCACAAGGGCCTTCAGGACAGCAGGGGCAGGTGGCCAGGGCTACAGGAGTCCCTAGAATGTTTGGCGGATTCCAGCTGGGATGGCAAGTCTGGATGCGGTCCCTCCTCTTAGCTGTCCCTCCTCTCAGCTGGACAGGTGAGGCATGGGACAGCCAGACTGATGGGATCAGACTGGGTGCCAGTGAGTCCAGACTGGGACAGCCTCAGAATCCCTCACCATGGACAGGTCAGAAATCATTTCTGGCATCTCAGGACTTTGTAGCAGTGACCAGCACAAGGAGAGTCAACAGAGGGGGGCTGCTGGTGCCTGGCATAGGCGGGGCATGGTAGTGCCTATTGAGCTTACTGATGGGTGGTTCGACCTAGGTGAGCTCATCTTCCACCCATCAGAGTCAGTAGTGACAGGAATATGAGGGACCTTAGGTACTGTGTATGTGTGTATCCACGCACACGTGTGTGCAAAATGGTGGACAGAGAACCATGCAGGATGTGTAAGATCCTATTCCAGTCCTCACCTTGTCCCACACCTGCTCACTGGCCCCCAGAGTGCTCCCCACCAAAGGGTTGACCCCTGCCACGCACACCAGAAAGTCGATGCCCCCATAATGCTTCAGGGCCTGTGAAGGAAACAACAGAATGTGGGGTGAAGAAATGGAATAAAGTGTTCTTTAGAAGCCTCTGTCCTTCCCCCACCAAACTGATGACACAGCAAACTAAGTAACCACTTCCTGACTGAAGCCATTCTGGGACAGGGTCAGACCTCAGGGATCAGAGGTTGAGTGAAATACTTGTTTCTCACCTTCCTGGAAGCATCTAATTTCTGCCCCCGCAAGATGTCTGGTTGGTAGCTGGCCGCCTCCCCCACCCCACCCCCAGTCCAGATCTTCACTCACAGTGGTTACTGCCTCTAATCTGTCCCTTCTTTCATATCTTAGATTTCTGATCAATTCCTCCTCCCTTCTCCCTCCACTCTGGAAGCTCTCCTCCTTTGGTCACACATACAAGAGCCCATTCACAAGTACCTGTGCATTTCACAGTACTTCATATTTACCTCACAGCTCACCCCTTCCAGGACTGTCTCAATGAACTGGTCTTAATCCAGATTACGGCTCTAGTAGGCTCCTCAATCTAATACCTGGAGTGCACTGGCCCTGCACTGCTCAAACTCTAATAGGTACACTCACCTGAGGTCTGGTTAAACGTGGATTTCAATTCAGCAGCTCTGAGGAGATGGGAGATTCTGGATCCCCAGCAAGCTCCCAGGACATGCCCCACCACTGATCATCAGATCACCCTTTGACAGCAAGCTTCTAGTCTAGACCATGTGAATTCCCTCCTGCCAGGAGCATCTCTTCCCAGCCATTCTGGTTGTCCCTTTGTTTTATCCCTTGAGCAGGACCCTATCCTATGTGTTGTTGGCCTAGACACCAATGCTAGAGACCTCAACCGCCTTCTACCAGGGCTGAATCTGCTTGTCCCCATCTGCCTTCCACCCTGCCCCTCACCGTGGCCACCAGCCGCTCCCTGTCCTCGGCCTTCCCCACGTGGCACATGGTGCCGGTCACGCTCAGCCCCTCGCCCTGCAGCGCTGTCACCACCCGGTCCACGTTGTGCTGCTTCCGGCTGCTGACCACCACGTGCGCCCTGTCCCGGGCCAGGCGCCAGGCGATAGCCAAGCCGATCCTGTGGACAGAGATGGCTACGGTGGCTTCATCCCCTCCCCATCCTCCTCCTGGGAGCCTGATCACAAGACACAAATTGAGTTCCACAGTATGGCCCAAGAGTGGCCTCCAAATCTTTCCAAGCAGGGATGGAGAACTACTGAATCTGACTACATATCCTGCCTTCACCAAGGCTACCTCATTTAATTCTCACTAGGTATAATAATCATATTTTATAGGTGAGTAAATATTCATATTAATCTTGTTAAAGGGAGGTTTTCAAAAGAACATTTGTGGGGATCCCTGGGTGGCTCAGTGGTTTAGCCCAGGGCGAGATCCTGGAGACCCAGGATCCAGTCCCACGTTGGCTCCCTGCATGGAGCTTGCTTCTCCCTCCTCCTGTGTCTCTGCCTCTCTCTGTCTCTCTCTCTCATAAATAAATAAATAAATAAATAAATAAATAAATAAATAAATCTTAAAAAAAAAAAACCACCATTTGTAAACATGTTGGGCACCCAGCCTCAATTGTAGAGAATCTTCAGCTGCCCTGTGTTTTCTCCCTTGGTTCTAGCCAGAGGCCTCTGGTAGGAATTATTTTCTCTAAGCCCAACATCTTTTTTCTGTTCTGCAGTGGAAAAACTTTCATGCTGAAAAAGATTTCTGTCCCCTCTGCAGCTCCTTTACCTGAAGAGGTCTGAAGCTGCCCTGGTAGGGGCTGGCTGAGCCCAGTAATAAAAGGGTAGAAGGCATATTTCTCCTGTTTCGCATAAACTCTCTGGGCAGCTTGGCATTTTAGAGGTATTCATTTGTTATGACAGCTGGGTGCTAGGGGCACGTACAGAGATTTAAAACATCATGGGGGTCTGGGAAAACCTAGAATGGTTAAGCAGTTCTAAAATTGCATAGTCCAAACTGGTGATGGTGTAGACCATGAATGGTCAGAAGGAAGATGGTGCCCCTGCAGCATTCAACACCAGAAGCCTCCCTTCCTCCTGCCTGCAGTAGTGCCTCATTACAGATTAAGGCTCCTTATGGCAGCTAGATGATGAGTGGAACTGGAAGGGCACTGGAAGAAATGTGATGAAAGGAGAGGTATATCTATAAAAGGTCTCTAAGTTGGTTGAGATGTTGTCCTGTCCATTGCCCTAGTGCTGGTGGGCATTTGCAGCCAATGAACCCCTGAGTCTGAGAGACAAGTAGGTCTTGGGCTTCTCCTTGGTAGACCAAGACCCTAAAAGACCACAGTGATGTGCCTATGAAGGACAGGGATAGAGGGCTGTCCCAATGATAAAAAGTTAAATGTCTTCAGGTTACCCAGCAAGTAAGTGACAGAGACTAGATCCCCAACACTACTCTGACTCAGAAACAGCTAGTTTTCTATTCATATCATTTTTGGAACTCAGAAACCAGATGTTTTAGGGAAAGTTGCTGAGATTTGGAGTTAATTATAAATATGAGAGCTGTGAGGGGGTCAGGCAAGTTGTATGAGAAAGGAATTGACTGCAGAGCCTGACGTGGGATGGAGATGTTGACGTGTTATGATAGGTTAGCGAGAATTCTCATTCACTTACCCCTTTGTGGATCCAGTGATCACAGCCACTTTCTCAGCCAGGGCATAGCTCCTGTCTGTCCTATTGCTGCTCATTCTTGTGGAGAGAGGGACCAAGGAGCGATGAAGACCCCTCAAGGTCCATGACGCAGCTCGGAGCATGGCAGAACCCATACTGAGAAGGAACCTGGGAAGACAATCTCATCATGAAATACGTAGGGATCTGTGTCTCCATGCATCCTTCAAACTTCCCAGGGAAGTACAGAGCTGCTCATGCCTTTCCACGACCTGTTCCGTGAAGGGCTTCCTCATCGTAGTGAACCACACTACCACAGCAGACGTGGGCAGCTGCAGTGCTGGGCTCCAGGTAGGTGCCTAAGTGATACTTGCTGGACAACTCCACACCCCCAAACAAGGAATATCACTGCACTCTTCCTGGAGCCACCTTTGTACTTCTCCCCACACATCCATTCTTCCACAAAGATACTACTTTGAACTTTCTCAACTTTCCCCAGCCTGCTGCAACCACCTGACCCAAGCTCTTGTCATCTCCCCGAGCTGCCACAACCCCGTCTTCTCTCAGCTCCCCACTGAAGCAACAGCCTTAGCCCCCACATCAGAGATACCAAACTTATCAGCATTTGACAGGCAAGTTGTTTCTCTTCATCACAAATGACTCTCATCCAACTGGAGATAAAAGTCCAACCACTCTCTTCTGGTACCAAAACTTTTGTGGAGTCTCTATGCTCACCACCCCCTCCATACTGTTCTGGTCCACCTGCCCAAAGATCCCATGCTACCTGTGCCATTGCAACTGCATCAGTAAGACCTCATTTCTGCAACGCCTTTCTCTCAACCCACATCTCTCACCTCCTTCTGGGGAGATCAAGGAACAATTGTCTTAGGTTGACCCTGGAGATGGCCCTGGGTAACAATGTTAGGAGAGTGGAGGTAGAGAGGTAGAAGGGAAGATCATCCATAGGAGGGGCATTGTCAAATGAGTTATCTCTATGGGGATCTGAAGGTCAATCCTGCTGACGAACTCTGTTCAGAGTTATCCTACCCAAAAGGCAAGGGCATTGGGGATTTAGGGTACAAACCATTCCAATTTCCCAGGACTGCAGGTTTTAGCACCGAAAGACCATGTTCCATGAAACTGCTCAGTCCTAAGCAAATCAGGACATTCAGTTAATCTCATGAGAGTGTATTTCCAACTCCCGTCTGCTACTGAGGACTGCTACTGAGCAGTATTAATTCCAAAGCATTGTCAACCTGTCCCACCTGTGCTCAGAAGCCTTCAGGAAAAGTCCTAGCTGCTTGCTGTTGGACATTGGGCTTCCATGTACAGAAAGTGAGTGCCCAGGGGACATAAGCAGGACACCAACAGCGTCTGTTATATATATCACATTTATTGACCATTATGTCCTAAGCATAGTGCTATGCACTCTACATGATTATTTTAAATTTAATAGTCATGATAACATTTCGAGTTAGTGGTAGTTACTATCCTCATATTGCAGAACTGTAAACTGGAACAAAGAGAGAATTTGTTCAATCTCTCACCAAAAGAGAAAAGCTCCAGGTTCAAAACCAAGTCTACTGAATATAGTTTGAAATTTTAATATCTAAACTCTACTGCCTTCTCTGATTCCCCTCCAGGGAGGGGCTACTTGTTCTGAGCCCACAGAACTTATATATTTGTCTTGGCTATCCTCAAACTTTAAAAATAAACATATACTTACCATATGACCAACAATTGTACTCCTGGGCATTTATCCCAGAGAAATGAAAACATATGTCCACACAACATCATGCACATGAACATTTATAGAAACTTTATTTGTATTAGCCCAAACTGGAAATGACTCAAAAGTCCTTCAATGAATTGTTGAGCCAAGTATGGTACATCTACCCAGTGGTATAAAATAAAAATATATTTGATCTCCATCCCTGAATCCTGGCACAGAGCTCCTAAAATCCTTGGGATTTTTTGAGTGATAGGGATATCTTCTATTATTCATAAGAGGTCCCTTTTCAATCACAAGCTGAGTTAATGCTAGTAAGGTGACTTAGGGTGGGGGAATTAGCCTCAGGATGCGGCTGGTCAACAGAAAGACCAAGTGATGAGAAAGTTGGAACCAACGGCTCCACCCACCCACCCCAGGAAGAGTGGGGCAGGAGGAGGAGTGCTATAAAAACTCTTGAATAATGAGATTCAGAGAGCTTCCAGAAAAAGGTATTGTAACTACACACACACACACACACACACACACACACACACACACACTCACCTATACCTTGCCCTATACATCAATTCCACATGGCGGTTTCTAAGTTATATCCTTTATAATAAACCAGTAAATGTAAGTAAATTAAATGTTCTGAGTTCTGCGGGTCATACTAGCAAATCATCAAACCTGAGAAGAAGGTTGTGGGTATTCTCGATTTATAGCCAGTTGGTCAGTAACATGGGTGACTAGAGACCTGTAATTGGTGTCTGGACTAGGGGCAGACATTTGGGACCAAACCCTTAAACCTCTGGCATCTGACGCTAACTAGTTAATGTCACAATTGAATATTATTGGACACCTAGCTGGTGTTGAAGAATTGGTTGGTGTGAGAAAACACTCTAGAGCAATAAAAAGCAATAAACTACAACAATTTGGATGGAGCTCAAGGAAATTATGCTGAGTGAAAAAGGCAATTCCATTAATGATGCCACTAATGTGGCATTCTCAAAAGACAAAATTATACATATGGAGAAGAGATTTGTGGTTGCCAGGGGTTAGGGAGGGTGTTGCAGGAAGCAGCTGGGTGTGGCTATAAAGAGGTAGCATGAGGGATATTTGTGCTAATGGAACAATTCTATATCTCAGTTGTGGTGGTGGCTTCACAAATCTGCATGTGATAATAGTCCAGCACTACACACGCAAATTATTGCATATGAAACTGGTGAAATCTGAGTAAGGTCCGTAGATTGTATCAATGTCAGTTTCCTGGGTTTAATACTGTACTTTCATTTAGAAGATGGATAGGAAATTCTGGATGAAAGAAGGGTACACAGGACCTCTCTGTACTATTTTTGCAACTTCCTCTGAACCTAAAGCTGTTTCAACGTAAAAGCTTTCAAAGAAATTCATTTGGCTTTGACTTGAAGAAAACAACTGACCTAAGCTCTACAGAAGAAGAAAATACAAATTCATCCACTGGGGCTATTTTTATATTTCTAGAATCACTTTAAAGTAACTTTATTAAAACAGACATCTACTCTGTAACATGTACTCCTGCCTCTTAATAAGGGAGGCACATCTTTAACCATTAGTCTTTACAATTTGACAGAGCCGAGGAATAAGGCACAAGCATGGCTGTTGAAACACAGCACAGCACAAACAATGCCTGGCCTCTAGAAGATAAACTGAGACAGAGTGAGTACCCAGGGCAGAAGAGGTGAGCAGGCACTTGTAAAAGAAGTGAGGTAGAGCTACTAGTCACCTCATCTTGATAGCTGGGACTAAGAATGCTCCAGGCACAGAGTCTAGTCAGAGTGGGTCTGAGGCAGGAGACATAGGCAGCCAGCAGCGACAGAACGGAGGGCCTCCTGGGTTGCTGAGGTTAGGTGGGATGCTGAGGCAAGGCCATGGGATTTGGGGCTTTCTCCAATGGACAAAACACACACACACACACACACACAAAAAAAAAAAAAAACTCTTGGAGTTTTTTAGAAATCAATAATTTTTATATAAATGGTGATCACACTCAAGGAGGCATAAATTTCATTGGAGGCCCTAATGACTGAAATAGCTAATACTTGTTGCTCTAGTGCTCATTTTTTGTCTGAATTCCTATTCCATTTTCTGAGTGGTCTATCCCAGTCTGTCTACCACTATTAAGCCCTCACATAAGTAGAGAAGTAATGAAGATAGCTAACCTAACCTTTCTTAGAGAACAGAATCATAGGATTCAGAATAGACAAGTTCACATCTGTATTCAACATAAAAGCTTGAAACAACCATGCACTTTCTGCTTAAATCTCTGGGTTTGAAAACAAGTTCGATCTTGATCTCAAGGAGTATAATGGCCTGAACTGTGTTCCTCCCCAGCCCTCAAATTCATATGTTGAGACCCTACCCTCAATTACCTCAGTGTGTCTTGGGAGTGGAGATGGAGCCTTTAAAGAGGTGGTTAAGTTAAAATGAGGCCACTGGGATAAGCCTTAATCCGATCTGACCACTGGCCTTATAAGAAGAGGACATTTGGACACACAAAAAAGACACCAGGGTTGTGTGCACACAAAGAAAAGGCCATGTGAGGACACAATGAGAAGACAGCCATCTGCAAGCCAAGGAGAGAGGCCTCAGGAGAAACCAAATCTGCCAACACCTCAATCTTGGATTTCCAGCCACCAGAACTGTGAGAAATTTCTGTTGTGGGGGGTCCCTGGGTGGCTTAGCAGTTGGGTGCCTGCTTTCGGCCCAGGGCATGATCCTGGAGTCCCAGGATCAAGTACCACATCAGGGTCCCTGCATGGAGCCTGATTCCCCCTCTGCCTGTGTCTCTGTCTCTGTCTCTCTCTCTTTCTCTCTCTCTCTCATGAATAAATAAATAAAATATTTTAAAACATTTTCTGTCGTTTAAGCCCCCCATCTGTGGCATTTTTGTTATGGCAGCCTTAGTGGACTAATACAAGAAGAAACCTCAATAATATTCCTTGACATATTATTACCCTTTAATCTCCCTCAAACTTCCCTTTAATGAAAAATTTCCAACAGGCAAACAGAATCCCAGGAGATAGAGAATAGAAAAGTGAGGCGCTTGGGTGGCTCAACTAGTTGAGCATTGGACTCAGCTCAGGTGTTGATCTCAGGGGCATGAGTTCGAGCCCCACTTTGGAACCTACTTAGAAAGAAGAAGAAGGGGCTCCTAGGTGGCTCAGTCAGTTAAGCATCTGCCTTTGGCTCAGGTCATGATCCCAGGATCCTGGGATTGAGCCCCAAGTCAGGCTCTCTGCTCCACAGGAAATCTGTGCTCACTTGCGTGTGTGTGTGTGTGTGTGTGTGTGTGTGTGTGTGTGTATCAAATAAGTAAAATCAGAAGAAGAAGAAGAAGAAGAAGAAGAAGAAGAAGAAGAAGAAGAAGAAGAAGGAGGAGGAGGAGGAGGAGGA